AGTGACGTGGTCTCGGCTCCCTACAACTTCCATCTCATGTGATTCCCCTGCCTCAGCCTCCCAAGTATCTGTGGGACTACAGGTGTGTGCCACCACACCCCACTAATTTTTGTATTTTTTTGCAGAGATGGGGTTTCATCATGTTGGCCAGGCTGGTGTCAATCTCCCAGCCTCCCAAAGTCCCAAAGTGCTGAGATGACAACTGTGAGCCACGGTGCCCTGCCCAATGTAACCTCATCTTATCTTAACTAATTGCATCTGCAAAGACTATTTCCAAATAAGGACATATTCTGAGGTGCTGGGTGGACATGAATTTTGGGAGGATACTATTCAACCCAGTACACAATGATACACTCATATTTTAACCTTCTTTTTTTTTTTTTTCTAAGACAGGGTCTTGCTCTGTTGCCCAGGTGGAGTACAGTGGCATTATCACAGCTCACTGCAGCCTTGACCTCCTGGGCTCAAGCAATCCTTCTACCTCAGCCTCCTGAATAGCCAACACTACAGGTACACACCACCACACCCAGCTGAGTGTTTAATTTTTTTGTAGAGATGGGGTCTCACTATGTTGCCCAGGCTGGTCTCAAACTCCTGGACTCAAGTGATCCTCCCACCTCAGCCTACCAAAATGCTGAGATTACAAGCATGAACCACCGTGCCCAGCCTTAACTTTCTATACAAACTTAAAATATGTAACTAGACATTCATTCTGCAGTCTTTGCTCGCTTCTGTCTCCTATCACCGGGCCTGGTCACTGCCTCCTGAATAATGAACTAAGGAGCTTTCGACACAGGACCGAAGTGTTTCCTTGGAGTGCAGAGCTGCTGAAAGATGGCATCTCTCTCACACAAACCCCAGCCACTACCTCCAGAGTCATTCCCTCTAGCACAGGCTGAGAAGGTAAAAGAAAGTAAAGACGCTTGCAAAAGCCATCTGAGTGAAGAATCCTTCATGTTTATACTTCCTTCTCCCAACCCCCAATTCTTTCAGCATTCTCACTCACATTTAATTCAATGGCAATTATTTTTAATAGACTAAACTTATTTTGGTGGCTCTCCAAGAGACCCAACCTAGATTTAGAGAAACTATTCTCTCTCCTTTCACGTTCATATATAATAAGCTTACATGTAAGTTGTGATGGTCAATTTTGTGTGTCAACTTGACTGGGCTCAGGGATGCTCAGATAGCTGGTAGAACATTGTTTCTTGGTGTGTCTATGAGGGTTTGCAAAAGAGATTAGCATTTGAATCCATGGACTGAGCAAGGAAGATCCACCCTTGTCAGTGTGGAAGACCATCATCCAATCCTTAGAGGGCAGGAACAGAAAGGCGAAAGGAAGGACTCATTCTCTTTCTCCTTGAGCTGAGACATCATCTTCTCCTGCCCTCAGGTATCAGAGCTCCTGGTGTGCAGGCCTTTGGACTCTGGGACTTACACTGCTAGTTCTCAGGCCTTCAGCCTCAGACTGAAACATACCACCAGCTTTTCTGGATCTCTAGCTCACAGATGGCAGATGGTGGGACTTCTTGGCCTCCATAATCACATAAGCCAATTCCCATAATAAATCCCCTCACATAAAAATCCTATTGGTTCTGTGTCTCTAGAGAATCCTGATACTGATACATACATACAACGGCAATAAACAAGTTTGGGAATAAACACATAAAACACTAGCTAAGTGTATGACACAATGGATGAGGGCCACCAGCTACAAACACTCTGTGCACCAGGGACAAGATATGACAGACAGGCAATAGTAGCACCAACCCTTCAGAGCCAGGCAAGAGACCTCCTGCTACCTGAGATCCAAATGCATGACTCTGGGGGCAGGGAGCCAGGGGGAGGGAGGGGATGAGGACCAGGGAAGCTTTTTAAGGAAAGTGATATTTGAGTTGAGTTTCTAAAAATAAAGTAAGAGATTTCCAGGTTGACAAAGATAGGAAGGGCTTTCTATCAGGGGAATGAGCAAGGCACAGGCACAGAGGCAGGAACTAACCCAGCGTGTGTGCAGACCACAAACTTTTCTGCATTGTACAGTGGGAGCAGATGGCAGGAGATGAAGACTTAGCAGGTCCAGAGCATCATCAGCTTTGTATTTTAGAACCTCATTCTCATTTTTTCTTTTCTTTTTTTTTTTTTTTTTTTTTTTTTGGACACAGTGTCTTGCTCTGTTACCCAGGCTAGAGTGCAGTGAGCACAATCATAGCTCATTGCAGCCTCAATCTCTTGGGTTCAAGAGATTTTCCCACCTCTACTGCCTGAGTAGCTGGGACTACAGGCATGTACCACCACACCCAGCTAATTTGTTTTTTTGTTTTAATTTTTAGTAGAGATGTGGTCTCATTATGTTGCCCAGGCTGGTCTCAAACTCCTGAGCTCAAATGGTCCTCCTCCTCCTCTTGCTACCTTGGCATCTCAAAGTGCTGAGATGACAGGTGTGAGCCACTGTACCTGGTCTAGAATCTCATTCTGATGAGTGTAGAGAGCAAAGACTGGAGAAGGACAGAAGGAAGGACAGCCAGTCAGGCAGGTGTTGCAGGCTTGGGGTGGTCCAGGGTGGTGGCAGTGGGCATGAAGGGCAGTGGTCGGATTCTAGCGATAGACAGGCTGTCGCACTGAGAGGACCTGGTGACACAAGGACGCGGGTGGTAAAGGAAAGGCTCTCTCGTACCTCCACAGGCACCTGTCTTGCATTTCTGTGCTCTTGCAAAGCCCTCCCTTCTGCCTGGAATGTCCTTCCTCCTGCCTAGAATACACAGTGTCTCTGGAACCTGGCATTTACCTAACATATTGGCCACTCAAAAGTTGTCGCAGAAATGAATAGATGCTTCCTGCCTTAAAAAGAGAAGAAGATATATATGAGCCATAGGTATTAATGTCATTTCAGCCAGTCAGCGATTTTTATTTAATATCCCAACCAATATGGATGTTTAATAATGAGTCTCCTGGAAACCTTAAAGAAAAGAATAGTAAATACTAGAGTATTTAAAGCATTCATTTCTTGACCACCTATTAAGTGTCAAGAACTTTTCTAACTATAGAAGGGCTCTGGGGTGAAACCAAAAAAGTGGTTTGTTGATGGAATGCTATGGAGAGCTGCAATCCCCGTTCAGAGATTCCTTTTGCTACTACCTGCCTGGCTATTTTGTTATCATTGTTGTCCCCATGTTTTCCGTATTTTACTAGCAAGGCATGTTGGGCTTTTTATTTCTTTTGTTTTTTGTTTTTTTAAGACAGGGTCTCGCTCTGCCACCCAGGCTGGAGTGCAGTGGCGCGATCTCAGCTCACTACAACCTCCGCCTCCCAGGTTAAAGTGATTCTCGTGCCTCAGCCTCCTGAGCAGCTGAGAGGAGGTGCCTGCCACGACACCCAGCTAATTTTTCTATTTTTAGTAGAGACAGGGTTTCACCATGTTGGTCAGGCTGGTCTCAAACTCCTGATCACCTCAAGTGATCCACCCACCTCAGCCTCCCAAAGTGCTTGAATTACAGGCATGAGCCACCACGCCCGGCCTGCATATTGTTAAAAAAACAAAGTCTGTGAATTTCTTTCTGAAAGACTGAGAAAGCATACTCCACAATGTGGGGGAGAAGGCATACCACTGGAAGAAAAACAGGTAAAATCCCAGAGGCCTGAGGGTAAGAAGAACTTATGCATGAAAAACCAGTCTGAGACCAAACCATGGCCATAAAGATTTAAATGCAACAATCTCTGTCCCAAAACAACACTCTTTGCCTTCCTGAGACCTTTCAAGGTGGGATAGTTGAGTTGCACAACTTGCAAAGTTAATGAGCCATAAGCACTCACTCCTTCATTTCACTGCCTGGTCGCCAACAACTCACTGACGGAGGTACAGTCCAACCTGAGTGGGGAGCTTGGGTTCTCCCTGTCCTCAGGCTGCCTGCAGAGAACACAACCAAACTCCCAGGAAGTAATGTGGACAACAGATCACGCATCACCAGGAACAGCTCTGCTGTAATGTTCATTCCTCAAGATTCACAAACAGTTGTTCCTGAACTAACCTCAACAGGGCACAGACTTCTCCGTGTTCTATCCACAGTCTTTACCATGTGACCAGTCGGAATGGGGTGGCCCAGCAGATTAAGGCCATGGTGATAGACAAAATGTTTACAAATTATCCTTCTAGTTGCTGAAGGTCAAGGAGGCCTGGGGGCCGGGGCAAGGGCAGCCAGGAACACTCAAAGCGGTCAGGGTAGTAGGTATTTATCAGCTAGTATGAAAGAATTTCTATATTAACTAGTGAGAGATGAAAACCCTAACACAGGGATAGAAAACCAAATACTGCGTGTTCTCACTTCTAAATGATGAGAATAAGTGGATACATAGAAAAAACCACAGACACTGGAGCCTCGCAGGAGATGGAGGATTGGAGGAAGAAGAGGATCAGGAAGAATAACCAGTGGGTACTAGGCTTAATACCTTGGTGATGAAATAATCTGTACAACAAACCACCATGACACAGGTTTGCCTATGTAACAAACCTGCACATGTACCCCTGAATTTAAAAAAAAAAGGAGTTTAAAAAAAGAAAGAGATGAAAACCACCCTTGAGTCCAGAACCTCAGAATAGGGGTTGATAAACTTTTTCTGTAAAGAACCAAATGGTAAATATCCTAGGCTTTGCAGGCCACGTGGTTTTTCACAACTACTCACCTCTGCCACTGTAGTGTAAAAGCAGTCATAGACAATACATAAATGAGTAAGTGCCTGGTTGTGTTCCACTGTAACTGTAAAAGACAGGCAGCAGGACAGATATGGCCCACAGGCTGTAGTTTGTGATTCCTGTCTTACAGCATAGCAGAGCTAATAGTCCTACCAATCAATCAAGTCTCGAGCCTCAATCTCATTAGTAGTATCTTACCAACTGATCTAACGAAGCACCAATGATTCTTTTGTGCATGCTTGATGTTTACAGACCCCAAGAGACCAAGTCAAAATCAGCAGTCAAACCCCTCTCCCTAAAGTAAGATACTCACCCAGAAAAATCCGTAGTGAGAATTCCATAGTGGAAGATGTATATTCGGCTGATGTGGCATATTGTAAGATATCCCATGGCTACAAAAAAGGAATATCTGGAAGCAAAAACATAGATGATCAGGTTATTATGCATAGCAATAACGCACTTAATGTTCCCCTCTTCCTCTCTTTCACCCTCCACATGCAATTGGTCTCAATGTCCTATCTGGTCCAGCGACATCCCAGTCCAGCTTTCCACCCACTACTCTAGCTGAGCCCTTCATCTCTTCTCACCTGGACCACTACAGTGGCTGTCAGCCTTAGCTGCATAATGGAATGGAGCTTTGCAAACCACAGATCCCTGGGACCTGCTCCCAGCTATTCCTGTTTAATTCCTGCCACACCTGGCAGGTGTAATGGAAGTGCACAGCCAGGGCTGGGAATCACTATCTGTAAGGTCTCACACTCAAGATTCTCCTCTTCACAGCCCTCACGTTTACATGATGATTTTTGTAAAGTACAAATCATCGCCATACTGCTGGCCACTTCCTCTTTAAACACTTTATTCTCTTGGCTTCCATTCTCCTGTTTTCTTCCCACCTCTCTGGTTAATTCCTCCAAGGCTCCTTGCTCAGCTTTCCTTCCTCCACCTACCCCTCAAGTGTTGGCATTTCCAAGCTCAGCTTGGGACCCTACCCATCCATGCCTCAGGCTTCAATTACCACCTGCTCATGAGCGCCCCCTGGCTTCCTTCAGAGATATGTTCCTGACCACCTTATAGTGTACACTAGCAATATACACACAAGCCACACAAACACACACATCCACATATAAGTATTGTCAAATGTGTAATTATAAATATAGGTGATAAGCTGTGCAATGAATGTTTATGTCTCCCCAGAATTCCTATGTTTAAATCTTAACCCTCAACATTAGGAGGTGGGTCCTTTGGGAGGTGACTAGGTTATGACGGCAAAGCCTTCATAAATGGGATTAGCCCGCTTACAAAAGAGACTCCCGAGAGCGCTCACTCTTTGAGCTATGTGAGGATACAAGAAGACGGCAGTCTGTAACCCAGAAGAGAGTCCTCACCAGAACACGCTGGAACCCTGAACTCAGATTTCCAGCCTCCAGAACTGAGAACTATTAATACATTTCTGTTGTTTATAAGCCACCCACTCTACATACAGTACTTTGTTATAGCAGTCCCAGCTAAGACAATCTGATTAACACCCATCTCCCTGACCAACTTGTAAGCTCCATGAGGGCAAAGATGGTCACCTGTGCTTTGTTCACTATATCCACCTACTGTGTGTCAAATGAATAAACAACTATGTGACTGCTACTCTTCTTAAAAGTCTCCAGTGGATCCCACTATCTAGTGAAATTGCAACCCCTGAACACAGCATGCAAGGTGCTTCACAAGCTAAGCTCTACCTCACCTTTCTGGACTCATCTCCAGCCATGCTCCATGTTTACCTTACTCTCAAATGACACTGCACTGCTCATGTTCCACAATGAAACTCTGTATTTTCAGGCAAGATGTATTTCTGCATGCTCCTTCTTCTGCCTGCAATTTGCATCTCCATCCAACAGTCTATCTGGAACCTGCCTAATTTTCAGATGAGGCTCAGCTCCAAAGTCACCTCTTCGATGTTCCTTGGCTTGGTCTTACTCCATGCATCCCACCACATCTCCTGTTCCCCACCCCCAACACAGTTCACTGCTCCACTGCCTGTATGTCTCTAGTACTACATGCTAACATACATAATTACAATATTAGAATTATTTATGTATGTGTCTGTTTCCCTAACTCATTGTGACCTTGAACATCCCTACCCTTGACCTGACACGTGGGAGGGGTTCAGTTACTGTTAGTTGAAATGAACTGAAATGAATACATTACATATTTGAAGTGATTCAGGAGCCCATCAGTTATAGACATAAATTCAGAAGGTATAACTTTTAAATATGTGCCATAAAACAGGGAAGAGGTATATTCTGATATTAAATTATATTGAAATCACATATTCACATTAAAATAACTCATGAAGACTAGATCAGCCTAAGGAACAGTAAAGTAGGGATAATAAAAATTCATTTGGTAGCAAGGGATAGCCAGACTTTAAACAGTGTGAAGGAGTTCTGTAAACTCTAAAGCACTATATAACTTTTAAGTGCTATTCACCATTATTTGCAAACGAAGTGGTTACTATGCAGAAAAGATTTTTTCTCTACCGTGGGTTCATCCTAAACCACTTCCAAACCAGGAAGATGGTCAACAATGCAAATGACTAAGAGAAAATAACTCCCTTAGGAGCTGAAGCAGGAGTGGAATGGAGTTAGGCCTTGTCGCCTCCAGCAACTGTTCCCTTTCTCCAGCCAATTCATGAAGCTCAAGGCAGAAACACAAAGCTGACTCAAAAGATAGATTCTTCCAGAACCAATTCCAATGCAGCCATGCCTGCTGCTTCCCCTTTGTCCTCAACAGGAGTTAGACCTGTACCTTCCCCTGGCCCACAGGAGAAAGAAAGCAAGTTCAACTCAATTGTTGTAAGACCCCGCCTGAGGACGGTGCCAAGTGCTGAGTCCCAATACAATAAGGCAACACATTCGTGCCCTGGCCAAACCTAAAACATCTAAGAAATCAAGAAGTGGTAGCAAGAACATGTATTCTACAGACTGACTGTAGATATAATTTTGCTGTGTCCCCACCCAAATCTCATCTTAAATTGTAGCTCCCAAATTCCCACGTGTTGTGGGAGGGATCCAATGGGAAGTAATTGAATCATGGGGGCGAGTCTCTTGTGATAGTGAATAAGTCCCACAAGGTCTGATGGTTTTATAAAGGGGATTTCCCCTACACAAGTTCTCTCTTGCCTGCTGCCATGTAAGACATGCCTTTTGCCTTCCACCATGATTGTGAGGCCTCCCCAGCCACGTGGAACTGTGAGTCCACTAAACTTCTTTTTCTATACAAATTACCCAGTCTCAGGTATGTCTTTATCAGCAGTGTGAAAACAGACAAATACACAGACCAGTACGAGCTCAAATCCCAGCACTGGCAGAAGTAATTCATGGTGGGAGAAGTTGGCAAAGCAGTTATTCTAAGAAGGAGAGGTGTGGCAGAGATTGGCACATGAGGCCGGGCGCGGTGGCTCACACCTGTTATCCCAGCACTTTGGGAGGCCAAGGTGGGCGGAAGTTCAAGACCAGCCTGGCCAACATGGAGAAACCCTGTCTCTACTAAAAATACAAAATTAGCCAGGCATGGTGGTGCATGCCTATAATCCCAGCCTCTTGGGAGGATGAGGCAGGAGAATCACTTGAACCCAGGAGGCGGAGGTTGCAGTGAGCCGAGATCACACCATTGCACTCCAGCCTGGGCAACAAGAGTGAAACTCCATCTCAAAAAAAAAAAAAAAAAAAAAAGAGATTGGCACATCAGACACAGTGGTTACATGGGTGTGTTCACTTTGTGGAAATTCATCAAACTGTTTACTTATTTATCTCTCTGAGCTTTTGTCTCATCTCCGGAAAAAAAAAAACAAAAAAAAAACTATATTCCATAGTGTTGTCCTAGAGTTAATATATTTGAAATTATGAAATATTAAATAACAAATTAAATGATATGTTAGATAATAGTTTATATGTTAAAAATGAAATAAAGTACATTAAAAAGAGCTTGGCTTAAGACTTGGCACAAAGCACGGACTCCAGCATTGATAACTGCATCACCAAGTTCTCACGCTAGGCCCTCCGCCCCAGGAGACACAAGCCATGTTCTGCTCCAGCTGGTTCATATAGGGCAAACTGATGCCTGTGACTTCTGCCCAAAACAGTGGCTTGGGAAGGAAACATGGGAGTATCCCTGAAACTTTCTAAACAAATGCTGTATAACAGTCCAGAAATGGCTTAGTTTTGGCCAGGCGTGGTGGCTCATGCTTATAATCCCAGCACTTTGGAAAGCCAAGGCAGGCAAATCACCTAAGGTCAGTTCAAGACCATCCTGGCCAACATCGTGAAACCCCGTCTCTACTAAAATTACAAAAATTAGCTGGGTGTAGTGGCGGGTGCCTGTAATCTCAGCTACTCAGGAGGCTAAGGCAGGAGAATAACTTGAACCGGGGAGGAAAAGGTTGCAGAAGAGCTGAGACCATGCTGTTGCACTACAGCCTGGGCAACAGAGTGAGGTTCTATCTCAAAAAAAAAAAAAAAAAGGATTAGTTTCATATGGCAGCAAATACTAATCTTTCCCTCCTCTTCTCAGCCATGTAGCAGAACTCTTATCACTGATTCAGTGAAGCAAAGAGGAGAGCAATTCATACAGAATCATGACATCATGGTACTGAAGAGAACTTGCATTCAAACTACTGCAAACCCAGCATTTTGCAGGTGGGAAACCTGACATATGTAGAAGCTGCACGACCGGTCCAAATTCACACTGCTAGGAGGACCTTGATTTCCTGACTCCAGCCTAGAGCTCTTTCCATAAACAGGAAACAACGCTGAGACTTTTAAAAAATTTACATTGAGTTCATCCAAGGGGAACTGTGAAACAATTTCCACTTCGGCAATATTGGCAACCACAAGAGCAAACCAAGAGGAGCATCAGCCAGGCGTGGTGGCTCACACCTGTAATCCCAGCACCTTGGGAGTCTGAGGTGGGCAGATCACGAGGTCAAGAGATCGAGACCATCCTGGCCAACATGGTGAAACCCCATCTCTACTAAAAATACAAAAATTAGTTAGGTGTGGTGGCGCGTGCCTGTAGTCCCAGCTACTCGGGAGGCTGAGGCAGGAAAATCATTTGCACCTGGGAGGCAGAGGTTGCAGTGAGCCAAAATTGTAGCACTGCACTCCAGCCTGGGCAACAGAGTGAGACTCTGTCTCAAAAAAAAAAAAAAAGGACCATCTTGTGCTGGCCTCTTTCCTTCTTGGTCTGATGGCAGAGCCCCCTGCTACCAAAATAATACCATATTGGCACCATCATACCCTGTCTGTAAACCACGTGATTCTGCCAAGGCCAGAGTATTCCATTCCTAGACACTGGAATGGAACTCTGTGAACCTGAACGCAGTGAAACAGGCCCAATACGAAGCAAGTGTGCGCGTCAAGTTCCTGATCCTCTGAAAAGTGGACCCCACCCCATCAGCATCACACAAGTGTGGGAAGAGCTGACAAGTTACAATGTGTAAGGAAGTTGGGAATGTGCTATACAGTTACACCAACATTATTATTAATCATTTACTGTGTAATTGCTTCCAAAACCAAGTTTTGGAAAAGCCAAGCCTTTTCACCCTCTAGTTAAAAAATAAAAGCTTTTATAATCATTTTGTCATCATATGAAACATTTCCAAAACCCATTCTTTCCAAATTAGAAAAAATGGATTTCCTATTTCCTTTCTAGAAGATCACACACACACACAAAAAAATCTCACCTTGCATTGTTCATTCCCAGTATCTTACCTGTGGATATTGGATACACTGGCAGTGACCATGATTGCATAGCACATTAACACCAGCACAAAAAGATGCACAGAGTACCTTTAAGACATAATAGGTAGGGGGAGGAGTAATGAATATATTTCATATTAACACACCTTTTGGTCACCCAAAATGTGAATCCATCACTATCCCCGCCAAAAACACAAATGATCAATGATCAGTAACTCGTGTTTATATGAGAGAAAATAAACCAAATATTTTTCTTCTATGTAATTAAGATGCTGTATCTTAAAATGACACAGGGAACTCATGACAGTTTGCCAACTGCAGGGCTACTCATGTCAGGAATCCATACATGGAATGCTTACACTTTTTTCGCATATGCAATTGAGAGTCCAGAGAGATGAGTTCTTTCTTTAAGACTTTATTTTTTTAAATGGGCTTCCCCAGATACCAAGACTTCTACCTGGTGGCTGATTTAAAATACTCGTCCTTTCTCAGATATTTGTTGAAGGAATAGGGGCAGAATTCTAGTATAGTACCCTGAACAAATGCACAAAATTCCTGAAGGTGTACTTCTCAATATGTTGGTCTCCAAAGCTTCTTCCCTAACACCTTTCAGGGTATTTGCCCAACTTACTAGTAGAGGAAAGTACAATTGACCAGCTTTCCCTGTTAAAGAATGATCCGCATTCCCCCAAGATGTGCACCAAACACATTGCTCTGCTCTGGTGAAATCCAGGACTTACACTCATGTCTCTAGCAGTAATGCAAGAAGTACATCAACATCTACAATAGTTAGGAAAGGTTCCTTTTGGGAAAATTAAACCTTACATCATCCCATTTACATGACTGGGAGGGATCTGTAGAAGTCTAATTTTAAGAAAAAATGGGCTGGGCACAGTGGCTCATGCCAGTAATCCTAACAGTTTGGGAGGCCAAGGCGGGTGGATTGCCTGAGCTCAGGAGTTTGTGACCAGCCTGGGCAACACGGTGAAACCCGTCTCTACTAAAAAATACAAAAAAAGATTAGCTGGGTATGGTGGTGTGCACCTGTAATCCCAGCTACTCAGGAGGCTGAGGCAGGAGAATCACTTGAACCCAGGAGGTGGAGGTCGCAGTGAGCCGAGATCGTGCCACTGCACTCCATCCTGGGCCACAGAGAGCTCAATTAAAAAACAAAAAATTAAATTGGAAAAAAAAAAAAAGAAAGAAAAAATGAACTATACTGACTTCCAATGGATGGTCAGTTTATTGGCTCTCATAGTAATTGGCGATTCCAGGTTCTTAAAGTAAATGGAGATTCCGGCAATGTCCTCATTATCCTACTATAAGGTATTTACAATATAAAATTTTATAATACATATTTTATAATACCATCTATTTCTTGCTTTAGTGCAATTCCAAGAACATTGCCACAAAACATCCAAATGACCAAATTAGAACATATGAGACTCATACTCACCAGCCGAAACAAAAGATGACAAAATAGATGCCAAAAATGGTGGCAACTGCATGCCGGACATCAGAGCTGGTTGTACCAGGACGTAAGTAGATGCGAAACCAGAAAGCAGCAAACAGAGCAACAAGCTGGCATACCACAAAATTCACCTATGACAGGGGAAGAGAAAATGAAAACCTTTATCGTTTCACCTTTCTGTGAATTTGCTCTTGGTTTTTGCAGATTTCCACATCAAGAGACTTCTCAGACTTGGATTTGTTCTTTCTCCCCAGTAGATTGTTTGGAAGAGGAAATGAACATAACAGAACAAGATAACTATATCCTCGTGTGGTATAAGATGCGACAAACCCAATAGTTTCTTCTCTAACCTTTAAGACTGGCCAAGGTTGCCTTCCCACCCACAAGCAGGGGGCTTCTCATGGAAACAGCCTAAGCTAACTGTGAGCTCTGTTTAGTGGGTCTCTTTTCTCACCCCCAGCAGGACCCTAAGACAAAGAAGGTATTAGATGCAAAGTTTGACGAAAGAGCTCCCTTATTTCGTACCTAGGAAATCAAATTGTTCTCCAAAGTGATCACCAGTTGTTTTCTGACTCTGCCAATGACTCACATTCCCTAATACTGGTACTAAACCCATTGTCCTACTCTAGCAAAATGCAGGACTTACAACAATGTCTCATTTTAAACCGGCATCCAATAAACAAGAGCTTTCCTCAAATTCAAGGTGTGACACTGCAGACCTACAAATAGTGACAGAGCCCTGCATTCAACGTCCAGTGCCAAGCCTGTCCAGTTATGCAGGCTAGACACCAAATTTCCTTCAAAAAATCTCAGTGGTCTACCTCTTGAGAATATTGTGCCTAAAAGAAAACAAAAAATTTACTGAAATCTGTAGAAAAGGTCAGCTGATATTAAAAAGCAATAAGCAAACATGTACCTTTGCAATTTATATTTACCCAAAATCAAATTCCAAATACATTAAGTGGTTTAACCACTCATTAAAACTAGAAAAGTAACTTAAACTCTCCGAAATATTCAAAACTGAAACCTCAGTATGAATTCACTTTTAGAAGACACTTAATTGAAAAGAGACCGAAGATGGAGACACAACTTCAGCATCAGCATTTCATGCTTCAATAAACTGCTGCTGATAACAAAACTCATTAGGGCTGAGCTGGGAGGTAGGGCTGGAGGGAGCAGAAATCAACTCCATTTGAGCTCATTTTGTTTGCCCAGTGAAAAACAATACTTTGGACCCTTTATGACTCACAGAAAATATTGCTTTCAGAAAATTTCTGTTTTGGTTTTTTAAAAGTTGACGGTTGGCCGGGTGCGGTGGCTCATCCCTATAATCCCAGCACTTTGGGAGGCCCAGGCAGGCAGGTCACCTGAGGTCAGGAGTTTGAGACCAGACTGGCCAACATGGTAAAACCCTGTCTCTGCTAAAAATACAAAAATTAGCTGAGTTTGGTGGCGGGTGCCTGTAATCCCAGCTACTTGGGAGGCTGAAGCAGGAGAATCGCTTGGACCCAGGAGGCAGAGGTTGCAGTGAGCTGAGATTGTGCCACTGCACTCTAGCCTGGGCAACAGAGCAAGACTTCATCCCAAAATTTTTAAAAAACCAAATAAATAAATAAAATTAAAAATAAAATGTAAAAGTTGACCTTATTTGAGTTTCACCTTTCCAAGAAAACCTCTTCTCACCACTGCCCACCTTCACTTTCTATCTTGAAAGAGAGAGAAGTGACTTGTGAGCCTGTCCTGCATGATTTGGTCATATCTTTTCATCTAGGCTGAATGAACAGCCAAGGAACACACACAAACAAAATGTATATAGAAAAAGAATCACCTTAGCAAGGTTCAAGACTCACATTCCCTAAGACTGGTACTAAATCCATTGTTCTATTCTAGCAAAATGCAGGACTTATATCAATGTCTCATTTTAAAGTGGCATCCAATAAACAAGAGCTTTCCTCAAATTCAAGGTGTGACACTGAAGATCTATAAATGGTGACACAGCCTTGCAATCAACATCCAACGGCAACTGGAAAGTCCAAAAGTTATAATAGGTGACAGATCACATGTTCTTTCATTCTCACAGCCCAGCCTGCAACCACAGCAGAACTCAGGAAAGTGGCAACAGGGAAATTTCCTGCATTCTTTTTGATTTGGCCAGAATTATTGAGCATGTGCACATGAGGAATGATTTGGAGTATGGAGCATGGTTCTCAAGAGTGTAGTCCCCCAACCAACAGCATCCACGTCTCCTTGGAAACTTGTTAGAAATGCACATTCTTGGGGCCCACCCTGGCCCTACCAAATTAGACATTTCCTAGGCAGGATCCGGCAATTTGTGTTCTAACCACCCCCAACACCCAGGTGACTGTGATACACATTCAAGTTTGAGAACCACGGGGATAGAAGAGAAAGAAGGTATGTTCCCTGCTTTCAAGGATCTTATCATCTAACTAGGAAAACAACATAATTAACCTAAAAGTAATTGTGAAATGACAGTAAGAGACTGTCTCTACCCTCCAATCAAGAAGAGAAGATTTACATGCTCTGGGCTTCGATTTCTTTATTTCTAAAATGTGTGCTTTGGGGGAATTGGTGTCTAACATCTCTTCCAGGTCTAATGGTCTCTGATTCTATATCTAACCTGTGTTTAAAAGAAAAAAATTAATTGGGAGGCCAGTAGGCTGAGATAGCTCTGGTGCCTTGGGTTCCCTCATAAGCAAGCCAAAACCTAATTCAGAGGGAATAGTCATAGCCCAGAAAAGCAAGCTTGACCAATCAGAAACTACCAACTAAGCTCCAGCTACAGGCTTCACCAATCAGAAACTACCTACTAAACTCTAACTAGAGACTTTACCAATCAGGTAAAGACTTTACCAAATAACCTCTAAGTAAGGGCTATCCACTTTAACTCATCAAATATTTTCTTGGGTTTTGCTTTTTTGAACACCTTATAAAAGTTTCCCCCAGTCCCTTTTGGTGGAGCCCAAAGTGTTTGCAGGCTGGTGTTGCCTGACTCATGAACCACTGAATGTTCAAATAAATGCTTTAAAATTTTAATGTGTATAAGTTTATCTTTTTACACCAGAATCCTTTCCTTGACTGTTAATGGTAAATGCCTAAACTCAAGACTTCATCATGGATTAAAAGCTGCCCTCTATGTACAGACTCAACCTGCTCCACCACCCTCTCCCCAAGAGGTAATCCTGGATGGCCAGCAGAGTGCTCCACGGCAAACTCCTCTCAAGCAAAAGTAGAAAAACACAACAGCACCACGCAGTTCTAGCAGGAGGGTACTAGCAGATATAGGATTGCTTTTCAGTGACCACACGTGTACATCTTATAAGGTACGGGCTGAACCAGACTGAGATACCACTTCACAGCTATTAGTATGGCTATTATATATTTTTATAAACCAAACAGAAAATAGTAAGTATTCACAGAGATGTAAAAACATTTGAACCCATGTGCACTGCTAATGGGAATGCAAAATGGTGCAGTCAGTATGGAAGACAGCACGGAAGTTCTTTAACATGCTAAACATAAAATTACTATATGATCCAGCAATCCCACTTCTAGGAATGAGCCACAAATAACTGAAAGCAGGATTTTTAAGAGATATTTGTACCCACATATTCATAGCAACATTATCACAATAGCCAACATGTGGAAGCTGCCCAAATCAATGGATGAATAAACAAAATGTGGTATACACATATAACGGACTATTCAGCCTTAAAACAGAAGGAAATTCTGATATATGCTACAACATGTATGAACTTTCAAGGCATTATGCTAAGTGAAACAAGCCAATCACAAGGTACAAATATGGACAAGTATGCTTCCACTTATATGACATTAACCTAGAGTACTCAAATCCAGAGATAGCCAGTAGAATGGTGGTTGCCAGATACTAGAGAAAGAAAGTAATGGAGTTATTGTTTAATGGGTATGGAGTTTCTGTTTTGCAAGATAAAAAGAATTCTGGAGATGGATGGTTGTGATGGTTATACAACAATGTAAACATACTCAATGCCGCTAAACTGTATGCTTAAAATGGCTAACATAGTAAATGTTATGTTATGTTATGTACAGTTTGCCACAATTTTTTTAAAAAAGGTCCAGGCTGGAGTGTGATGTGAATTTGTGTTGGCTGACTCATATCTACACTTGTGGCTGGTGGAGAATATAACCATCTCTGCAGCCAAGTGCAGCTGGCTCCTACCACAATTCATACAGGCACAGAGTTCGATTTTTGTTCCTTTCCTCTATAAAGGGTCAACAAAATCAGAGGCCTGATCTTTCAGATGTACATCCTGGAATTGTTTTGATTTGATGATATATGGGATCTGCTTCCAAATAATCTAATGGGATCTAATGGGAATGGGTGAATGGGATGAGTAGAGATCAATAGTTCTCAACTGAGGCTGATGTGCTCCTACCCGGACATTTCTGGTTACCATAACTAGAAGAAGGGGTGAGTGTACCAATGGCATCTAGAGATCAGCGATGTCGTTAAACATCCTAAAAGGAACAGCATAGCATCCCACAACAAAAAAATTTCCAGCCTAAAATGTCAGTAAGTGCCAAAGTTACGAAACTCTGGTGGAACACAGTTAGATGAGCCAGATTGGGTATGAGTTGGAAATTGTTGAAGCTGAGTGTCGGGCACATGAAAGTTCATTCTACTAATCATTCCACTTTGATGTATGTTTGAAATTTTCCATAACAAGGCCTTTTTTTAAAAAAAAATTACAAAACTCTGGAAAGCAAATCACTGGCCTAAGATACAGATTTTAAACCCTGGTGATTCCAAGCACTTGAAACTGAAAAGTTCTTTTTATCCACATCAGAGAAACACCTAAATCAGGGAAGTAATATACGTAAGTTAAGAAACAAACTAAAACAAAAAATGGGATGTCTTAATAGGAAAAGAACCACCTTTTATGAAATGATCAAATATCCATTAAACAATGAACCAAATCGGCCAGGCACAGTGGCTCACGCCTGTAATCCCAGCATTTTGGGAGGCTGAGGCAAGCAGATCACGAGGTCAGGAGACCAAGACCATCCTTGCCAACATGGTGACACCCCATCCCTGCTAAAAATACAAAAACAAAATTAGCTGGGTGTGGTG